AACTATCCCCCCCCCCAAGGGTAGTGCTGCTGACTGAAGTGTCTTTAGGCCATTCCGAAAGGGGGGAAATTAACATGTTCTCATGCACAGATGAATTATAAATGGACTGATTTATCAATGTCAAGCTCATACTGTGCCGAAACAGTATTGGGGGAACTGCTGCTTTGTCTCTCCTCATCCTTATTATTATCATTTTTCCCTACTTCTTTTATATGTTTGTCACTCTCTTTTGAACTGCTATTTCCGGGGTGCCTTAATAGTGATAGTCGAAGCAGACTTTCTGCTGTTGAGGCTAGAGAGGTAAGCGGAGTAAGCGTGATTCCCCACTTGGACTTCTTCTGTTGACATCCACCCCTTGGCGCTCATATGACCTTATGCAATTGCAAGCGCCGTAAAACCTTACTAAAATAAACTTCATTAAAACATTTACCATTTAGCTTATATTCAAAAATGAATGACATTAGTCAAACAACAACATTTGAAAACAATAAGGTCGCCAAAGCATTCAGAAACTTACCTTTGTAAATTTTTAAAAAACAACTTTCAGCACCCAAGCTTTGGATAATGAATATGAACAAAAAGAAATGTAATTTAACCCTTTTTGACCTATACCGGCCCAAAATGCCCTTCCCGTCATGTTGACATACTAGCTTTTCCCACTGTAGAGCCATACTATACCGGCTTTTGCAAGCCTTTAAATAGTGTAGGCTTCAAAATAAGAACGATCCACTCTAACTTTAGAAGCTGACGTCCTTGGTCTTCGCATGTGAAATTTCGTTGTTAGTGCGCCGCTTGAATCAAATTGCAAGAGCAATTTCTTTGCTACACCCCTTGAACCTCTGAAAAACACTGAAATAATTCAGTTCTGAGTAAGCCATTAGCTGGCAGCCATTTTGGTTCTTCGGTGCTGACCTGCGGACCTATTCATGGTTCTAAGAGGGTTAACAGACCAAAAGTTTACCTTCAGCATTCCAAACAAAGAGGCATCCTTGACAACAAAAAATGCTTATTTTCCCATCTATGAATCCATTAGAATCCTCACTCAGATCATCCGTTTCCATCACATCACTTCCACTATCATCTAAAATTTCAAGTTCATCATCATCTATCACTTCCAATGCCGATTTCAGACTCGTGCCAGGCTTAGGTTTCTCTTGACCAGGCGCTGGGGAAGACAGCAGCAAAAGCTCCGCTTCAATGTCTTCCAAGTTTTCATCTGTTGCCACAAGTTCAACTCCCTTGATCTCTCCTCCTGCGATCTGAAGAACATCCGATTCTAAGGTACCTAAACCTAACAGTTCATCCTCACTTTTCTGAGCCTCTTCCATCTTGGCCTGAAAAACAAAGTATTTAGAGAAGGAAATTTAGTTCCAACAGAGCTGAAAATATTTGACAAAAATGACTGTCCGATGATCATTCATAATTTTGCAATCAGGCATTTTAGATTCAAACAAACTTTTAGACATGTGAATCAAAATCATAAAAGAAAATGCCTTTCTTTGCAAACAAGAAAATGCATAGGCTAAACTGCCCAGGAAACATTCTCGAGCTTAGAACCTAGGAGTATTATAGGGGGTGCCCATTAGTGCAATCGGGTCGGGTCAGGTCGTCGGGTCGGGTTGTTTTCTGGTGGTTTCAGTGCACACTACAACCCGGCCGCGACTGTACCCAACAACCTGGAAGTTAAAATAGACAAACCTTTAACCTCAATGGCTTACAGGGCTCCTATCCGCAGTTCCGTGTTGCAGTGCTGCGGCAGCCTCAAATCCCATAAACATGGGTTACATCGATAACTTGCTATTATCAAAGATCGTTCTCATAACAAGATAGTTCACTCGGCCAAAAAATGTGTCTGCGGAAGTCCGCCCATTGGTTCAAATGGTGCTGCAGCCTTAGTTTTGAAGCCCTTCGTTTCTCAAGAAGAAGATTAGGAGTAACACAGTTTGTTAGTCTCGATTTTTTGTTTTTCACACAAGTAGGGTAACTCTGTTCACAAAGTCTGCACTTTTTCGAAGAGGGAGTCACCGGATTTTGAGTGTCAACATGGACACGTGACTCAGCCTTGTGATTGGCTGCAAACCACCTGATTGCACCATTCGCAGGCCTGAAAACAAACGTGTTTGTTTTTGCAGGTCACAGACCGAGTCGATCGATTTGTGCCACGATGGCCGCTTTGCGTCCTCAATTTGGCTAGCCCCGACTATCAAATCGCCCCAACCTGACCCGAACGCACTAATGGGCACCCTGTATTAATAAGAAAACAATGTTGATTCTCTGAAGGGGGTGGAAGATTTTTTAAAAGGCGGTTAGAAAGAGGTAGAGTGAAAGAGAAGCATGGAGATTGTTTCACCCTGAGAGGACAGAAAATATAAATATCCATCAAAGGAAGAAAAGCCAGACTACCAATAGAACACAATTTTGATACATTACAGAGAGAGAGAGAGAGAGAGAGAGAGAGAGAGAGAGAGA